GCAAAAAAAAAAAAAAAACAAAAACAAAAATGCAAAAATATTTAGCTTGAAGAGGGTTAGGCCTACCCTGAAATTAAGGAACGCTCGACCTCGACACGTGATATCTAAACGGGCGAAATCGCCTCTTGATATCACTAACTCTCCTGACTCCTGACAACTCTGGACGATGAGAGAATCTCCATGATTGGTTAGAAGGGACTTTTTGGAGGCTATGGATTGTCCTCAGAAACCATTGTTGGCGCTCGTCGAATCGATCTTCTTATCCTTTTCCATACGTTAAGTTTCGAAAAAGGTACATAGATACTTGAAAATCGCACGACGAGTTACGCTTTCTGTACGTTAACAATGAAATCGGATGTTCAGTTTTGTGAAAAGTTCTCGGAGTTTTGGGATTTGTTCAAATAGTTTTGAGAAACGGACGTTAGCAATTGGGGGGAAAAAAATATTGGCAAAGAGCTATTTCATAAATCTTATTCGTAATTTGGATGCAGTGTCTGGTCTGAGATAAGTTTTGTATTGACTGTGGTTTCTGCAAGGACAATTTTCTTCTCTATGTGAGCATTAACGAGAGCTCCTTAAAATTAATGGCATTTAGGTTAACATGAGTTCTCTTCATTATATAGAGATGTTGGATACTGTTGAGGGAGGGAATGAAGAGTCAATCTGCAAATTTAGGAGAGATTGCTGACCCGCAATGACGTCGTACTAGAAGTTTCATTTTGACCTGATCAGGTGGGTCTGATGTTGGAGGAGGACCCCAAGGATCAAAGTATGAGAAGGCCAGTTGTGGTGGAGTCCGTTCCATTGCGTAAGGTCAAGCAAGGTCTAGTGGTCCCTGTTAAGCTCCAGTACCACACCGTGAGGTGGAATCCCGACCTGGGAGTGTCCCTGGTTTGCGCTCGGGTGAAGGTGACCCGATGGAGGGCTCTCCCGCTCCTCATGTCTCATCTCCTTACCCCTGTCCTGGGTGATCCGTTCTATGGTTCTCGAGTCACAAGGGTCATGGGTGTACCTGTTAAGCTGCCTGCACATCATTCTGCCACTAACACTCCCCAGGTATGCCTCTTCTATATTTGTACTGATGAGGCTATTTGAGTTCCTATTCTCATCCAATACATCTGACTACCAATTACATTGATTGGATTCATTTCTTTAACAGAACAATGAAGCCTCGTGCATCATGATCTTGCTTTTTCCTTGCTTCCAAAGAATGCGAAATTCTGCTTTAAAAAATCACATAATAACATGGAATGAGAACAGCTTTAAGTGCAATGTTTTATACATCCTAAGAAAGAGGCCGAAATGTCAACTTAATTTCAGTTAAAGTGGAATGGAAAGCGTCTAAAAATGTATATTCCTCTAATTTTTAGAAATTCATAAACTACCATTTGCGGTGTAGTTTATGCCTTTACAAATCTTAGTGTTGTCTTTGTCTCATATCATCTGAATATTGAAAGTATGAAAGCTTGAACGGTTTTAGTTGCATTCAAACTTTGAAGAAATTAAAAAGATATATATATTTCTGAACTGAAACTTAATTACTTCTTTCCCTTCTTCACATATTGTGGCGCTCATTTTCATTCTTGTGCACCGAAGAGGAAAAAATTATGTTGACCTAAGAGATATTTTACTCTTGTTCTTTTTTTGCTGCGGCACACATATACGAGTAACATTGTTGCGTTGATAAATATTCACGTGTGGGAACGCTCTGGAAAACGGGTGGGGCAGGTACTAAAAGCCCAAACACAACGGGCAAAATGGAGGTGGCCGAGCAAACTAGACAAAACTTATTTCCTTAGATTTAAATTTGCCTCTAAGTGTAAAGAAGTAGAGGATGCATATAGATACCCTTTGCCCATACCTCAAAAAGCGGGATGGGATTTGTCCCCCTTCTCCACTTGCCCTGACACCTAACAGCCATTGTATTATAATGAATATCCTCTCATAGATATTAATTGCTCTGTTACTTTCCCATATCGCTGGCAGTTGTGCTTATTCTGCAGACATTGTCGGACGAGATCGTGCAGGCCCTATCCCTCCCTAAAAACTTTAACGAGTTGTTACCGATGCACATTCACATGGGTGCATGTATCTTGACGGACATGGAGGACACGGGCCCCGAAGCCCAGAATCCCATCACGATCATTGCCCCTCCGCCGCCGCATTTCCAATGGACTTGTGAGAGATTGAAGTTGTGCGAATCTCATGAATGGATCTCCATCCTTAGGGATCCATGGCCATCGAGTTCGGTGCACCATCATACTGTCACTATTGAATAAAGACTCGTTTTGTTATTTCTTTACGTTTAATGCAATGTTTGATTTTCAATACTTTGCTGAAGTGAAGCGGACGTCTTTTTGTGCAGAGGAATACCTGGCAGATTTTACATCCCACCAGGACCATTTCGAAAATCAATTGCATAAATATACTGGTCTGAAAATTTTTCCACTATCGTGAACTCGGGGAGTACTCGAGGAAGATGAACTTAGCCCGACCATGTTCTTGCAAAACAATGACTAGCAATCGATTTATTTCCAGAAGGCTTTAACACCCTCATAAAATCAGTGGATAGTGAAGATCTGGTTGATCTTCAGGTTGATGCCGACCCTAAACGAGCCCTGTCAAGTCCAAGTCACCCTGCTATACAGCTCTGCAATTGATAATCTCAGACGCATCACTAAATGCACTGCCTGATTAAATTGGCATGGAATGACCCAAAGGCTTCCAAGCATTTCGAGACGAACCCGGTCTCGTCTGTTCCTAGCGAGCACGAACTTTCTCCAATCGACAACTCTTCACAGCGTGGCGATGTGGCGAATCCGGGAGCAGAGTTCTTTCTTTAGTCGAGTGCCACAATCTAAAAGTGGAATTCGTCAAATGACTCCAATATTAGAATGGGACAATTTTTAGATTTCGCTGGAATAACGAGCATCGAATAAGAGACTAATGCATGCAAAGTTTTAAAAACTCAAGTTGAACCGGATAGACTATACGAACTTACACTCTCCAACTTCATTCGTCATCGCGAAAGAACTAGCAAGGGTCATTAGGGGTCGCTTGTCTTGTAAAGAATGTAAGGAATACATGAAGGTCATCAAGGGGGGGGGGGGGGGGGGGGGGGGGGGGGGGGGAGGCCAAGCACTTGAACCCTGCGATTTGAATTCGCTATGGGAGTAGGACATCAATTGACGGCTTCAGAGCTCAAAATGCTACGGAGCATCGGATGTAGTTGGCGGTCACTCGCGGACAGGTTTTTGATGGTGATACCTTCCAAAAAGAAAGAACACTAATTCCCATAACTGCAGCAATTATAACTAATCACGCTTTGATTTTGTAGTAATTATCATCACGATCTATTACATGACGAGAGGGAAGGGCCAACTACACCGTTGTTCGGGAGCCTCCTGGAAGCAGCAATCTTACTATAGAATCTGTAAATGAGCCCCAGTGCTTGATGACCTTCATGTATTCCTTACATTCTTTACAAGACAAGCGACCCCTAATGACCCTTGCTAGTTCTTTCGCGATGACGAATGAAGTTGGAGAGTGTAAGTTCGTATAGTCTATCCGGTTCAACTTTGCCACACTTCTAATCCTTAAAGGAGTCTCAAGCTTTGTTTCGACTACAGCCTTTCCTGGGATTCAGGTCGTTAATTATCGAAATGTCATGCTTCCCAGGATAACCTGGCTCAACTGTCTTGACATTATTCCCGGGTTAGACAGGTTATCTGGGGTAGGGAATCTGACTGTTCCGACTGGGTGACATTTCCTGGGAGTCCATTCATTCATGGAGATGTATTTAATGACAATCTTCTGCAGGCTACATCTTAGTGCACAATTGAGAAGACCAGCAAGACAGTGGAAGATTAATCTGATAGAAAGCTTTTTGCGAGTGATAATTTTGGCGATCTGCTCAGTGAGGATCTGGCTTGGCTTCTTTGGCAAGGAGAATATACGCTTTCCTATTCCGTTGAGTGCAATCAAGCATGCGTTGAATATTAATATCGCGAAATAGAAGCAGGAGAGTTTGCACATCTTCCTCACTCCAAACAGTACGAACACTCATGGGGAAAAGGGAAAAAAAGGACGCGAACAGAAGGAAGAGTTCAGCACGCCTGTCAAATGATGCTTATACCACTAATGCGTTTCGACTGAGATCTGAACCTGGGACAGTCCCAGAGCGATCCTGGGATTGACCGGTTTGCCCGGCGGCGTTTCTCACAGCGGGAGGGAGGTGAAAGTCGGCGTTTCGACTAATCCCAGAGGCTGACTATCCCAGGGCGATCCCAGGATAACGTCTCAGTCGAAACAAGGCCATCCATCTTCTCCTCCCCTGAGGGGAAAGAGTGATTTTCTTTGATTCCGCCAGACACTGGCGCGACGCTCCTGGGTTGGGCGGTGGGGGAGGGGCTTCCCGTATGAATGATTTTAGAAATCTTGATAAGATGCCTGACGAGTGCCAGGAACACTTGGGTCCGCCCATGGCCGGATTAAGAAGTTGCGAGACCCGGGCCAAGTGAATTCGTGGAGCTCCCCCCCCCCCTACTTTATGCAAATACAATACTTTTTTGTACTTAACGTTTTATATTTCCTTCGGGGGCCCCGCTGGAAGAGTGGGACCCTTGCCCCCCACCCCTCCTTAATCCGGCCCTGGGTCCACCTCCATTAGCTTCGAGCCCCCTCCCGACGTTTTGACAGGCTGATGACAGCACAAAATTAATGAATTACCATAAAATAGGCAATGCCGGCGTTGCAAAGTTGGACCGGATGGACTATGGGAGTGGTATCAGTTAGCGAACGAGGGTCATGAAATGCGATTCGGCCTTTTGTTACTCTAGTTTCACACTCCATCCCTGGCAATCATTCAATCCATTTTCTGTAGATGCTACAAGCTGAAGCGCGTAACTTGAGAAACAAAAGGCCAAATCGCATTTCATGACCCTTCTTCACTAACTGGTTCCCTGTTCGCTAACTGGTACCGCTTCCCTATACTCGTGAACTGAGTTTGAGTGTTGGACAATCGCTCCATCTATACTTTCAGCTTTCGATCCCCGCATAGGACGTCCTGCCACTAGATGGCAAAGGGAGCCCCGAAACAAACATGGTGGCTCTGTTTTGCATAGTGCCGACCGTTCCACGAGTCTCTCTTATCCAAAAAATGAGATTTTCCTTTCATCATCGATAAAACAGCTTAAAATTTAGCGTCACGTGGCGTAACTAGACGGTAGCCCTAGCTTATCGTTCGACATCCGAAGTCGAATACCAATATCAGATAGGCCTAGCTTCGGCTATTCTGAAGTCACCCCCAACTTCCAACTTAGGTATAGGCTACCCAGGTTTTTCCAGAGGAAATGACTAGTCTTTCTTTTTGTGTGATAATTCAGAATGTCTGTTCTGAGAAGAACTTATGACTGTGAAGCACTTCCAAAAGGGTGGAAAAGGGAAGAGGTGGACCGTAAAGGCGGCATTTCTGTCGGAGGAAGACCTGAAGTTTATTATTACAGGTGTGCAGTTTCTCTTATTGCAGGCCTACCATAACCTTTTTTACGCACTAATTATTTCCAATTTGTGCATTCAAGAGTCTTTTTGCTTGGAAACTTATGGCATCCCACCCAATGCATCAATCTATTGCGAAAAGTGTATTGAAAAGTAGTAATCAGATGACTAATTGCAAGAAAAGGGTACCATGAACGATTTTAAAGTGAATTGCATGTAATACAATAAGATTTTCAGAACCCTCCCATGTCTTAATAATGGAGTGAGCAAAGTGATTAAAATTATTTCTTTTACTTGAATGATACCAAAGGCTGCTTCTGTCATTTCTTTTCCCATAGCCCCAGTGGGAAACGTTTCTGTAGCAAGCAAGAGCTGATGAGGTTCTTCGGAGATGCAATTGATCTAGCCAACTTCGAGTATTCCAGTGGGAAGATAGTACATCCACAGTTCTTGAAGCGAGGCCGTGGGAGACCCCCTTCTACCAAGCCCAACACTGCACCACAGCCCACTGTTGAGTTTACGTGAGTGTCTCTTTGCTTAATGCTTGGTAAAAAAATTGGACTATGTTAATATGAAGGAATATGTGTATAGAATGCAATATATGCAGGGAGCAGGAGAAAATAATTTTTTTTTAATTCAAATTCTTTCCTATGTCTTTGTTTCTGTTCCTAGGGAAATTTGATAAAGTTGGATGATTAAAAAAAAAAAAAAGAAACCCATTGCCAGTAAGGCACCCTTTTATTCCCACCTTCTCAAACATGTCACCAATACTTTCTGCTTTCAAGGTCATCTCTATATTTTGTCAAACTGAGCTAGTTTAATTCCTTTTCAGCTGGTCCAGAAATCTCAGTTTGTTTTTCTGTGAAAAAATCTTGCCTTCAAGTCATTGCAAAAAGTGCTGGTTCTGAAATTTAATTTGAAGAAATTGCAGTTTTCCTTTTTGACTATATAGCATATGTCAATATCAAGAATAGTTTATATTTAATTTTTCTTGGTTACAGGATGGTTTCAAGAAAGTACAAGTTACAGTATGATATTAAGTTTATATCTAATAAGCACTCATTAGACCTAAGGCACAACAGTGAGAATGGCTTATGTGGAACGTGAATGTTTTGCATGGGAGCAGATATGGTTTAAGAAGTGAGGCATCCCTGATCCCTCCAATTCGACAGACTGCATCCATCTTCAAGCAGCCAGTTACAGTAATAAAATCAAGTCACGGCGGCTCGATCCGAACGGACATCAAACCCGTCTCTGTCGACAAACCTCAACAGGTATCTTGTAGATCGTAGTGAATCTCACCATCTAGTCTTGGCCTATGTTCTTGAATTCAATGTGACTGTCTTTGTGCAGATCTTTTGGCAGAAGAGGCTAGAGGGCATGCGAGCATGTAATGTACTGGGACAGGAGATCCAGGAGATGGAATTACCAAAGAAATTGAAGCCAGTCGGGGGGAACATCAAGGAGCAGACAGCATTGCAGTCCTTGGCTACCAGTCTTCACACATCCACTCAGCCCATCACAGGACAGACGAGCTCCAAAGCTGCCCTCGACAAGAATCCCGCCATTTACCTCAACCCACAACAACCTCTCATCCAAGTACACGTTTGCCCTGTCATTCTGTGTTGGATTTCTGAACCTCTTTGTAATTGTGGCTCTTTTGTGCATTATAGGCATTCATATTCGAGGAGGCTGACATTCGGGAACAAGAAGAGGCGGTGCTTGCCGTGCGGAAGAAACTCGCAAAAGCCCTTGAGTCATGATGTAAACTCTCTCTTTGATCTTGTATGTAAGGACTTTCCTGTGTGCATCCACTTTTGTACTCTATGAATGAAGTGGTTTTTATTTATGATTTGCCATTTATAGCAGACATAATTATTCTTTGCTTCTGCAACAGAACGACAAAGCTGGCCCATCAAGGCATTCACATAGCTTATTTTTTATGGCTGGTTATTGACAGAAATCATGAGGATCTGAGTCTAGAGAATGTAAGGGATGAGGAAAAATTCCCCAACTCAAATTTTCCAAAACAGTGACCATGCTCTGCTTTGACATATTGAGAGAAACAGTCACTTTCTTGGAAAACTGGGCTCAGAAATTTTGCCTGAGACTATGGATTTTTATTATTTTTATTATTTTTGAAAGATGATGTTCTTACTTCCTTCTCCCAACAACCCTTGTGCCTATGTTAGCCCATGGATAGAGGGGAAATTCACATTTTCAACTAAGAGATAATGGACTCTGCTCATGGAAGATTATCCAGTTTGTCTCTTGCAGACGATTTTCAAAATGCACCATGAAAAATGTACCTGTTATTCTTCCTTAACCCTTTCAGGGCTGAGTTATGAAATACACCACAAAAAAATGCATATCAAAATCAGGATAGTTATGGTTCATACAATGAGATACTAAAAGAATTTTACAAATTTATTTATTAATTTCAAAAATGCAGACTGATGCCATGCGGCATCACCTGCCTTATCAAGATTTAGTGTAATGTGTATGGTCTAAAAGTTGCTTCAAAAAAAATCTATCAATCATTATTTACTAATAGAAATTTTCCAAACTGATCGTATTCCAAAATACAAAACCAAACAATTAACCACAAAATGTTACTTCTAACAGTTCAGTTGTTGCCACAATCTCTTTCACAGATGCGCGTGTACTCTCAAAGTCTAAGTCAAACTAGTCAAAGCAATTCAATGCACATACACATTCGAAAGAGCGTCTCAAACGCTTTCTGTTTACTACAGAATTGTACAAATTCTCCTCACTAGATGGTTCTGGGGGCGTTTTAAAAACAATTATGCCATTTGGCATCATACGCCTAGAAAGGGTTAAGTTATTTCTCTTTTTTTTTTGCATCGATGCAAAGTAAGTAAATCAGCGAATGTCGCACTCTGAAATTTTGAAATATTGATGGCAAAAAAAAGTTTCATGGTGGAAATTTGAGAGGAATAAGCGGCAGCAATCCATTCTTCGCTTATATTAAAAAGAGGTAGGGACGGGTCTTCTGGGCAAGAGGATGTCCGCCCTCGAACATCACGTGGAATCGAAAACTGCAGGGCCAGGCTGGGCTGCGAATGGAAGTCTCTCTTCCCGTTTTCCCGGACCCTTCGAAGAACTATCCAGTTTCCTGTACTGTTGGGAAAGACTTGTTTTGAAAGTCTCCTCACGACCCTTGTATCGACGAGGACACGTAAGGGCATGTGAACCCTTGCCCCCCCGCTGCTCAGGTTTCATTAGCAGCTGAGAGTGGGACCGAGAAGAAATGGATGTCTCGCTGCTGCCTCCCCGTTCCTTTGGCTCTCCACCGCTCCGTGCCCAACCCCAACACTTTTTTTTCTTCAATTTTTCGTTATGTGTAAAAATTTCATAAAATTCTGAATCGAAGAAATGAATCGCAGTAATCAAGATTCAAAATGTGATAGTAAATCGCTTAGCCCCATCACTGTGACCTGGTGTATGGCCCTGACCCGGGGTCCGCTCGAACCTGGTTTTTCGGTATGCGTTGCCACCGTCTTTCGAACACTAGCGAGAGCTGTCACCAAAAATTATGACCCGAAGTAGATCAGGTTTTTTTTTCAGAATAACAGGAAACAGGGCTGGTGTCCGGGCGGACTCCAGGGGCCTGTTCCTCGCCTCTGCTAAACTTAAATCTTAATCTAAATCTAAATCTAAAAGCAAAAAGTCTATTCTTCGCCTTGACCCTTTAGACTAAGATTTAGCCTAAGATTTAGATTTAAGTTTAGCAGAAACGAGGAACGAGCCCCAGGTCATAGTGGTAAGCAAGAGCTAAAGAAGTAACGGAATAAAGCTTCTTGCGAAAAGATTCGCAACTGGACTACACCTTATTTACGGTATTCATTTTTCATACGATGTATTTACCTACTTGGGATAATGATCCTCGTAATTTGTGATTGCAGGATCGATCGGGGATTCCCGGATCACAAGACATTTCGGAGAGAATTCCCTATGTGATCCATGACGCAATCCAGAATTCCCCGAGGCGATGAAGACCGGATCCGCCGATCCAATCTCCGGAAGCAGCTTCGAAAGCAACTCTTTATTTCCCTTCATCGTTTTCTTCTCGATTCGTCTCTAGGGAGAAGGAAATAAAACTATGGATGAATTAGAAGCTATGTCTTCATTTCCTTCTGAAACATTTGAACTCAAGAAGAAGCCTGAGAATGTCTCACGAACTTACCTACCAGACCGATATTCAAGAACAGCCATCATTTCAACTCGGAGCCTTACTGTTTTCCGTAATTTTATGTCCATATGATTCCCACTTACTGCTATCGGTCATGTTCAATGGGTCGGAACGAAAAAATGGGTATTTTATTTTTTGGAAAAGTCGATTTCATGCACGGGACATATATCCAAGCAGTAAGTCGCCACGCAACATGCATTTTTTTTTTTACAGTGCCTTACTTTCCTTTCTGTCCTTTTCTCCACACTTTACTGAGGATCCGCAGCTGGACTTAACCCTTTCCAGGCCAAATTTAATTTAATTCCATAAAAACTCGAAAACGTTTAAACCTGGGTCGATTGTGCTCGAAGATCCTCAATCGTGGTCAAAATTTTCTCCGGTGTCATCACCGGGAGCAAATGCGGAATATGGAAACTACTCTAACGAAGTAAATCGTCTACATATTTAATATGATCTTTTGCCAAAGAAATTGAGCATGAACTCGCGTAAACAGGAAGCCATGCCTTTTTGCGAAAGGCCGTCAGGTTCGAAATTCTCTCAGAAATGGCAGGACCATTCAAAGAGATCGGTAGTGGTGCCACCGGATGCCATTGGGTGCCACCCCCGGTAAAATGCACCAGTGATCACGACTACGTCGCGCAGATCGAAATATTTTCAAGAACTGTCGGAAAATTGGAGACGGAATCATTGGGCTAGAAAGGGTTACGATGGCATCGTATATCCACGAATCGAACTCTGGAGTCCATTTCATCGATGACCGGTGCTCTTCTTCTCGAACCAGCGACGCTCGTGCGAACGGTCCCGTGAGTGAAAGCACTAGACGTATGCAGATCACTCCGCCGCCGACACGCTAAATCGGAAATCTCCCTCTTCTGCCTCTTCTCCCTCTTCTGCTCTGTCGTAGCACGAGTTCACCCAGTGGATTTGTACGCGGAAGAAAACGCCATCGTGCGGTCGCACCGATGCGAAACCGGTCGATGCCGTTCGCTTCGTCGTACCTTCGTGAGTTCACCCTTCGAAAAATGAGTGAGACGGGAACGAGAGACAGGAATTCTCTCTCTTTCCCACAGAACGCAAGAACATTAATATTTATGGGCCTTTGGCTCGCATTCCCCCGGCCTTCACCGCTCTCGTCACCTTCACCGCCTTCCCGCCTTCTCGCTTTCACCGCGAGGCGGCTCGACTGACTCGAACCTTTCCTTCGCTTCTGTGGTTTGGGCGGCGATTCCAATTGCCGCGTCGAAGACGCGTGAGGAGCCGAAATCGCAGGGCCCGGTATGACCAAACTCCTCCTTGTCGTCGTCACGAGCAGGAATCCTACTCTGTGTACGAAAAGGGCGTCGAGATCGCAGGAGATTTCGGACGTGCGCCGTGCGTGTTGCCGAGGTCGTTTGCTGCCGTCGACGGTCGTCGCCCCGAGGAGCGCGAAAGGAGTAAAGAACTCCGAAGGCCGTATCGCGACGTACCTGTTTGCTCGGCGTGCTTCGGAATGCATTTCGAGCGTGCACCGGCAAGCACGTTCTACACGTCCGGAACAGCGACACCCGAGCGTCGAGAGGACGCTTTCTCGCGTCGAGGGGATGCTTCCTCGCGTCGAGGGGATGCTTCCTCGCGTCGAGGGGATGCTTCCGAGCGGAATGCTTCGCCGCTATTTGCCCCGACGAGACGCGCTCACTCGTCACCTCGCTCCGGGCATTCGTGTTGCGGACGGAGACGGGGGGAAAACGCGCTGGAGCGTGTCGCTGCGGGTTGGATCCGGGGACGCGATCTCGTCGCTTTCAAACTTGACTTTCGGTCGCGGACGGAGAGATCGGGTCGCGTCGTCACGGACGCGGACGACCGGACGGACGGACCGCTTCCTCTTCCCTTCGCGACTGCTTCTCGATCCGCCTCGAGAGGGTGCAGAGGTGCGGGACGGAATCCGTCCCGATCCGGCACGCACGCCTTGCGTCTCGCCGGAACCCAGACGGAGACGCTTCGCAAGCCGTACGGTACCTCTAACTTGCCGATGCGCCCGTTCGGATGCACGGCGCGCGACGGCCTCGCGTCCCGAAGCGCGGATTCCACCGGGATCCGACTCGACGCACGGCCGGAGTCACGGTGACTCCGGCTCGGTCGTGCGCGCTGCCGGACCGGATCCTCTCCGATCGCGGATCGAGAGGCGTCGCGTCGCGAGCGCATCGATTCGGAACTCGTCGGGGACTCGAATCGGACTCGAAGCGTCGACGAACTTCCCCGTCCCGCACGATCCTCCACGCCTGCCTTTCGGCTTCGAGCATCTCGGAAGAGGAACGGTCGATGAGGATACCGAGATGCCGTTCCAGGGATGACGACGCACGCAGCGACGACGAGGACGACCGCCGTGCGACCGAAGAGACCCGGGAGGCACCTCGCACGAGGTGTTGCCGGAGAAGCACCTCCACCCTTCCGGAAATCCAGACTCGACGGGAGACGGAATCGATTCTCGCGGTCGCTACGTTCGCACCGGGGACGAGCCACCCGAGCCACCCCGAGCCACCCGAGCCACCCCGAGCCACCCGAGCCACCCCGAGCCATCCCGTTCGGTCTCGATACGGTCGTTGCAGATTGCACGGGATCCCGGTTCCACGATAACCCTCGAGAAGGAAACGTAGAGCGTTTCGAGATAAAGCTCGGCTCGTTCTCTTCGAGAGCTCGATGGTACTCGCTCGCGCGGGGAGACATACGAGACCAGCCGAGGCTTTGTTCTGACCGTGGTCACTCCCTCGAAGGTCGAACATCTCGAAAATAAAGCAGAAAAGGACCCGATCCCACGCTCTCGTTTCGACAGCGAATCCTCGAGAAAACGCGTGATTTCCTTCCGATTCCACATCGATCCCCTCGCGACTCGGATCGGTCCCATCCACTCGTGAAACCGACGAAATTCTCGTGCGAGGTTGCAAAGATTCGACATCTTCTCGCTCGTTACTCTTCCCTTCGGATGCTGGACTCATCTTGCACGAAAGGCGAAAAAGCGACTGCAGGTGCCCCGCGTTCTTCCCACCTGCTCCCCCCTTGCGATTCGCGCCATATATGCTCGCTTTACTTCCCGGTCCTGCTGGATGGTTCTCGGGGGAAAGGGAGCCATTTCGACTCCAAACATTCGAGTCAAGTCTTCCGAAGACGATCCTCGTTAATCATTTGGATTCAGATGTCTAAATATCAGTCACTTTCTGTTTCTTCTGGTGTTTCTGGAAGAACGAGAACCTCAGAAATTGCGGTCATTTTTTGGTCCCACCCCGAAGCGAAGTAGGGATGCCATCGGATGCCATCCCACCACTAAATCCTCCAAACTAAATTCCATTCCAGGAAGAGATAGAAAAATATCTACCAAAACGTTTCGGACGAAAGGATCGCGAAGATTCCACGAACGGAGGCGAGGTACCCGGAGATGCCTGAAGTACCACACCCGGAACGACCGATGCATTTTTTATGGTGGGAGAAGGGTTAAACGATTTTAAAATGCAGCATCTTCCGATCGTGATGAAATCCGGACGACAGAGCCTACACGACGTGTAGCACCCCGAGGAAAAGGATCCTGCTGTTTCTTTTAAATTTCAGAGTAGATTTTTGAACAGAGCACCATCCGATCGTGCAGCTTTATTTCAGAGGAAATGCATGATAATTCCGGTAAGTAAAGCTGCATCATCTGATGGTGCTGTTCAAAAATCCACCCTGATTCTCGGGTGTGACGTACGATCGATAGAAGGAATCCCCGCGATCGGTCGCCGAGACGAGTGCTATTCTTTGGCCTACGGAGAAAACCGTTTCATGCGATCGACACATCGGTTCGCGGAAACTCCCAATCCGGCTTTTTCCAACATTTTCAAAGGAACTCGAAGGCACGAGGCAATGAGAGGAGTCGGGGGAGGGGAAGGGGGGGGGGGAAGGGGAAGGGGGTGGGGGACGAGAGGAGTCAGAGGGTGACGCAGAGTGATGTGCAGGCGGATAGGCTTCCGGGGAATAGATTCTCAGGCGAAAGGCGAGCGTGGTTTCGGGGAAGAGATGGTCGTCTCGCACCGGAAGAATTTCACTCCCGGGGAAGGTGGAGTCCCGAGAATCCGTCTCCGGGATCTCCGACGAGGAAACGACGAAATGCGTCGTCGAGAAGGATGTCCGGGTGGCGACTGTCTCGTCCGACTCGCGTCTCCCCTCCGTCCGATCCGGAACTTCGGCGCGGATTTCGGTTTCAAAGGACCGGGGAAGTACGGGCGTTTCGACATGCGGTCCCCTGCACGGCCGAGATCCAACGGATGACCTCGAGGACGACCTCGAGGAAGCCACGCGCGGAAGAGCGCGTGCGCTCTCGTCAGATCGCTTCCGGCCTTCAGAATTCGTTTCGGTGAGGAAAGCGAAATTTGTGCCCTTCGTCTTCGACAGTTCTAGTTCCAAGGACGAACGAAATCGCGCCAAAACGGCAGGAGCGTCTCGACACGAGGAAAAAAAAGTCATCACGTCGTCGCAGTCGATAACTTAGAAAGTGAATCGCGTCCGGCTCCGTTGCAACCAACGAATCCGTCGACTCGGATCGTCGTTCGACTTGGAAGTCGCCGATTTCTTGGAAGAATTCGATGCTACCAGACACGACTTCGCTTTGGAGATCATCGCGATTAGATCGACAGATGAAACCTGTTCCTCGAAGAAAGAGATAACGTTTTTTCCTATTCCTTTCACATTTTAGACCATTCGGCCGAAAAGGTGACAACTAAAATTACGATGATCGACTCGATCGCTCGGGTGCTCAAATCAGGCAGATGGTACAGATTAAGCTTTCTTTCACAATAAAATAGATCATGTATATTTTTTAAAAGCATATTCTGCTATATAGAGAGTTCTTCACAGGGAAAGGGGATCGCGTGGAAACTCAACGATCGACTCGACCGTGGAAAAAAAATAGCACAAACGCTCGCCGATGAATTTGAATGCTTGCAGGCCCTACATTGCTCGGAAGATGGGACATGTCCATTGCACTAACATTTTTTTTTTACTGGGCCCAGAAAGAGACTGAAGACATCACGACCCACGAGATGTCTCCAGTGATGACGGTGACAGAAGGAAAATTCCCAACTCGCATCAAATATTTCCTATATCATCCATACCTGACAACACAGAAGAAGAAATTCTATTTAAGTAAATTCAAAAACCCATAAATTGTGGCACGAAGAAGAATCACAAATGTCTTGGCCCCGGTTGCGTCCGTTGCTATCACTTCGCTCCCTGCCCTTCGGCAGAGAGAACATCCTCGACTCGGGGACTCGAGGGACGGCAAGAAACTAGTTCCATGCATGGCAAAATACGTTCCGTGGTTCCTCCGTTCCTTTCCTTCGCTTCTTGCACGTCCCGAGTGAAAATTACACAAGGCTAGGAGAGAAAATTCAGACGTCACTCCGAGCGAACGAGACGTAAATGGGAAGTTCGTGATGACGCTCACCACTGAGTTGAAATGTTTATTGTCAGGTTTTATCACAATGACGAGAGCCACGGCGATCCGTTCACTCTTTCGAATAGACGGAGAGCAGGGAATCCAGGGACCTTCGGACCTGTGGAATCGAACGCGTGCGATACAGCGTTCGCTTCGGAATCGAGACGAGATGGAGGTGAATTTTCCACCCAGAGCAAGGATACGATACCTGTATGAGGCCGTAGATTTGACTGTGGATGGCATGATGCAGCTCGTCTCCTTGCATCGACATCGATGCGTTCTCTTCCCAGAGGCTCCTCTCTTTTGTTCTAACGAAGAAAAGGAGAAAAAAAAAAGAAATAAACGAATCTCGTCGGGCGAGAGCGAAGACGGAGAAGCGGGAAGACGGATGGGAAGTACACGAAGAGTTGTTGGAGCCGATAGAATCGATGATAGAGGAGGCATGTGCTTCCCACAAGGGCTAAACAGAGGATGAGAAAGACGAAGAAGAGTCCCCTCCCTGGCTCCTTGGTCTCCGAGATCCCAAACCCTGCCGAGGATAAACAGCATCACACGCTCCAGTCTCGTGCTCTCTAAGGCTCACGTACACCGTCACATTTCGTTCGTTCGAGTCGCCTATCGATGCTCGAATGGGAGATCGCGGCCGCGTACGTGGGGTCGATGACTGCAACGTCCGCAAGAACTCGTAACTGAGGACTTTCATACTAAAAAAAGCCAAAAGGCCAATTACATATTCTGTAATTATCTGCAATTATAGCTGCAATCTCGATCGTGGAACGGATCGGTACCAAGCCTGCAGACGTTCGGTCACCCACATCCGGTTCTTCGCACACAGACCCACATGTGGACAACAAAAGGGGATTCTTGCAGCATCCCGATTGAATGCAGAAAGCCGGCCATTTCGAAACGCGTGAGCGAGTGAGAGTCACTTCAAAGCCTCAATGGAGGACGAGGAATGCGTTAACGAACATGTAACTTCCGTATGTATACACGGCCAGGACCATACAAGAGAGAAATCTGAATAAATACACCAGACTCACAGGAATTTTCATCGGAACCAAGTTGCATTCGAGAGATACACAAATATTATCTTCCGGCTAATATTCGACGATGACCTTGGCACACACTGGCTTTCTATTCAGGGTTCGAGGTCTATCGCTTCACAATAATCGGTGCCTGGGATTGTATTTTTTTTTAGCGCTCGAAGTGTGACTTTTTTACACACGAGAAAAAAGAGAGAGGAAGTATACCAATGGGAGTGGGAGTGTTGGGTGGAGTGTCAGAGGAAGGCGTGGTGCCACGATTTTCCTCACTCTCGCCTGACTGTTGAAACACGAGTCCATCGTCCTCTTCTTCCTCCTCTTCTCCGGGCTCTTCCTCGCTCATACTCTCTTCCTGAAATCGTTCCATTCAAACCCTTCTGAATCCACACGAGGTTTCGTTCGTGCTTCCCCGAAGCTCGGCACGGAGAAATTCGAATTCGCCCATTCGTCCGACATCGATGCAATACGCAAGGCAAAAAAGAGCCGACCGTGACGGCACCGCGACGATCGCTTCGTCATTCTCGCGGGATCCAGTAGGCGATCCGCGATAAAGATAAAGAGCCCCGCGAACGAAGACCGAGAGAGACGAGACGTACGTGAAGAGTGAGAGGAGGACTCGGAGGTAATTCGTGGATGCACTTCCACACGCGGACCATCAGCTTGTAGGTGGTGTCCCGGGAGAGGAGCGAGCCGAAAACGTATTTCTTCCCCTCGGGCGACAGGACCACGCCGACGGCATTCGGGAAGATCTTCGCCGTCTTCTCCTTGCTCACCCGACCGACGGTCTTCACGGGAATCACCACCTGCACAGGTACAGCGTGACGTCTACGCCACAGTCCGAAGATAGAAAAGCCCAGTCTAATAGGGGATCTCTTCCGTGACGGTCGAAAAGAGGAGGAGGAGCACGTGGCAGGTAGGGAGAGGTCGGAAGGAGGGAGGAGAGTCCGACGCGTGGCACGACACGGGTTCGGCTGGCAACGCCGTCGAGCAACCTCTCCAATTTATTCCATCTCTCCCCGTTTGCTAACGACGAATCCGTGGACTACGAAGACTCGAAGGGAACGGGTAGCTCCGGTCGGAGGCACGACACGAAGCTAAGCCTTTCCCGTCGAGTCCATTTCAAAGTTCAAAATTCGCGATCGGAAAAGTTTATTACCAAAAAATTTTACCGCAAACCTAGCCATCGTCGTGTCCAAATCTTCCTGCTGACCGGTTTTCACTGCGATCGAGTCGAAATTCCTTTAAGACAAAAGAAGAGACGGACGGATAGGCGGGATGGGACCCGTACGAGAGGCACCTCCTGGCGCAGGGCGAGCGATACATAAAGGAGCTTCTCTGATAAAGAGAGCAAGAGAAAGACAAAGGCAGAGATAAGCCACAATGCAACGTCTACCGGTCGGGATGGGCTCGGCTATATTTTTAGGCCACGGTCGACACATTGTCACGACTGGCTAGAAAACGAAAGGAAGCGCGTGGAGTCTCGGGGTCACGCTCATCGCGTACGGCCACCTTCGCCACTCGCCCGACGGTGACGCCGTCGCAGAAATATCGAGCAAAATTTATCACTCCGATGCAGTTATTGCTGCAGGTTTCCTCTATTATAGATAGTGTCGCAATATAAACGATATCTTTAAAACAGGGCCGTAACGACGAATCGGCAATCACTGGTATCAGCCGCCGGTATGGCACCATCGGCGCCATCGACCGGTTTACAAGCTGCTGGAGCCGATGTCCAAAGAAGAACGGGCAGAACGAAGAGAGAGGAAAAAAAACGCGAACGGAACGGGGCTTGGCAACTGATTTTGAGCGGCAATAGGACTGAAGGGGCTGTCCCGATGCATCCATCGGTGAATGGATGTCATTATCGATAGTTGGTAGTCATGGTAGGCTTTATCATCCGTCGGTCACACGGGTCAGGTCACACCCCCCCTTCCTGCACTCCCCGATCACAGGTGGAGATAATGGAATACGGATAGAGGAACGCGCCTTGAGGCAAGAAACGACGAAAATGAAACCTCCACCCAATCGCAGCGAAAAAAGACAGAATCCGCCGGCACCCCTTCCCCCCCCCCTTCCCCGGGTGCATCAATCGATGCACCCGGGGTATCGATATATATATCGGTATATCGATATTTTAGGCCGAAACTTCGATGCTTTCGAAGTACCCAGCGTGACAACCCTAAAAAATTGAACAAGGCCTCCTAATAGGTCAATTTCAACAAATATTTGATATCATCGTTCTTCGCTTTCTCTACACGTCACAATAAGCATCGGCACCAGCCGATAGGTACGAGATGAAAATCAGCCATCGGTACAGCCCTACTTTAAAATGATTTCCTCTTTTCGTCGGAAGGAAGTGGACTTAACTGGACGACACTCGGCGTATCCTCTCCCCAAAACAGGGTTCATCGGGTTCTTCATCGACCGCATTTTCCCAGCCAAAAAGGTGCGAGGCTGATCATTACTAACACGCTGCGAATGCGGCTTTTCGGTCGATACCGACTCGGTGACAGATGTTTCGGTACGATAGTAAATTAATCAAATTCATCGATTTTGACGAATGCGTGAAAATGTTGACGAGCTGTTCCACGACGATGAGAACAGCCTGTCCACCAACTGAAACAATCTTTGCTATTTGGATTTAGGGAATCACCCTGGGAAAGAATGAAGCAGGAAAAAGTGTTTCAAACTGCAGCATTGACTTTCTTATCTATTTCCAGAATGTTCAGGATTGGAAGGGAGGGAGGAGGGGGAGATCCTATCATTGTGAAACAGCCTCTTCAGGAATCACGATAACAAAACCAGGACAACAATATAGGTTGATTGCTGTGGATACATCCGTATTACATCCGTGATATAATGCATTTTTCGTCAGTGGGCCAATTTGAGGGAAATGAGGGAAGTACCATTCTCACCTTCGTAATGTAACCGAAGACGTTGGAGTAGAAGGCGAAGTAATTATGGGTTATGTAGAGGTGACCTTGCAGGAGGATGTCGCCAATCAGCGCGCATGAATACGCTAAATAGAAATAAATCACATCGTCACACTTCTATTATGGCAACACCAAATGCGTACAGTTTTTCGCGAATTTTTATTTCGGGCAATCGATGTTAACGGAAACGTCAGATAACGGGTATCATTACGTGCGATTACTTTGACGTTACGCTATTCGTACACATCGACGACCGATTGAATGCAGAGAAAGCCCTTCTCATGATGATGAACGGAGACGTTGAGCGACGACGAAGAGCGGAAAAAGCGCAAATTCACGTTATGCGTCATACGACTTTCACAGTCGACTCCTTCGCGTTCCGAATCGGGGTGAGTTGGCACCGCGGAAGAATCGCCCCGATCGCGGGTCTGCGTTCGACGAGCCCACGCGTCGCGTCCCGGATCGCGTCGCGGACGCGAGAGGAACCGGGGGAAGACTCACTGTTGAGGACGATCTCCTCGGTCGTGACGTTCTTGAAGTGTCGGCGGAATTTCTTTTGGCGGTATTTGGAGGCTTTCGACTCCGTCGATGCCACGCTGGATCCCTCGGGCGACGCGATCGACGGGTAACTCACGCTCAGCTGCATCCGCGAATTTCTATAAACGATTTCGAGCAATTTCCTGAAACTTCAATCCGCGAATGATTTATTTGTAATCGTTAATGATCGTAACTTAAAAAAAAGTAAGTCACGTTCTGCAAATTGATTCATTAATTGGATGAGGTATTTTCCTGATTTAATCAAAGTCTTTTCTTGACTAGAATGACTTTCCAAAACTGCGCAAACGAATGGAGAATCGACCGAGCACTCGAGCGGGAACTTACTTCAGATCATCCATTTCGAACGGGATGGAGTACCGGGGAGGGGAACCGACTTTATATCGAAGCGGAGTTCACGGACGAGGCCACGGGACTGAGGCCTTCATCGTCACATGATTCCGGATAAAGGACGCCAGAAGATAACATTTATTTTTATCTCCACGTCGAGAGGTGGTGGTGGGGAGAAAAAAAAGGAACAATACGAAGTTAAGAGAATACGGTCAGAGACGTACTGGACGAGACGATACGGCGAAGTGGAGGCGGCATAGGAGGCACACCTCGGTAGAGGGATCGGAGGCCCCAACATCCCTGGGGGCCCCCCGAGCCCAGATGACCCCAGCGGCGGCGGCGTGATCGACCTCCGCGGCAACACCAGCCTCCTGTTCACGAGATGACGAAGCCGTGAAAGTGACGGATGCGAGCCGTAACTCAACGCGCGGAGTCCTGTCCTTTCTGACCCGATGTCGCGAGTTTTTTCTTTGTCACCCGCTTCCGAGACCTCGATTTGTATTCGGAGGGGGGGGGAAGGGGGGGAAGGGGGGGAAGGGGGGACTTCCGGAATCGATTCCGCTTTACCATTAAAGGTTCCGTTTTGTATTCTGAAAACTCGCATCCGGAAGGACAACCCAACCACGCGATTTTTCCCCAAAATAACTCTGAAAAGGACCGGTCCGACCTTTTCGGAGTTATTTTGGGGGAAAATTGCGTTTCGAAGAAATTCTACGACGTTCGCGGTACTCGAAAACACGGGGGCCTTACGTCCGGATGACGCACGTTTACCGTGCCGCGAAGAGCTGCAGAGCAGCCGAGGCGGAAGAACCCGTCCCGTCCCCGAAAGAGGTGATCCGAACGGAACCGATCTTATCGGTGCGGGCAGCGTTCTCGACCGGACGGAGAGGAGCGAGCGAGTCGGGGAAGGAATTCGTCTCCGGTCTCGCTCGAGGATGACGATTCCCGACGCGAAGGGCATCGTGCTAACGGAATTTCAGGGTCCACATCGCATGCATTCCTTCGGAGCGACTCTCGTCGAGATCAGGGCCGACGGGCCTAGAAGGCTTCGAGAACGGGTTCGACACCTTCGTAAAATGCTAATAGAAGCGATCGAGATGCGACCGACGGGCGGCGGTTTCGCGCGCTTCCGCGGTCGATATCGACCTTCGGCAGGTCTCGACCTTCGTCTTCGAGAGGTCCACGTCGGTAAATATGCCTCTCGAAACCCGTCGCGAAAACCTTCGACCTTCGAACTTCGACCGTTCGGAGATATACCTTTTCGTCGGGCCACTCCACGACCCGACCTTTCGAACCGATGCGGCACGGTTCCAGCGATAGCGCGCGGGAGAAACGAAGCACGTGACGGACGGAAGAGCGTGCACGTGAATCCGTGAATCCGCGAAATCCTCGAGGAAACGCCGGAGCAACAATGGAAAGCGCATATCTTATCGGATGTCACGTGAAGTCACTCTCACCTATTGAGATACGTGGCATCTCCATCCGCGATGTCTTCTCGTTCCATGCCGAAACCGAAGGTTGAAGGGCCTCTGAAGGGCCTCTGAGGGGCCTCGGCAGTAAACAAATCGGTCGTAGGGGAAGAAGCAGAGAGAGAGAAAAAAGAGAGAGGAGATAGAGAGAGAGAGAGAGAGAGAAGAAAACGAGGACACCAACACCACCGCTACTCCCTCTCTGAAGGCAGAGCCTGCCCGTGCGAGTCCTCGTGCGACGAACCACGTGACTCGTGACGTCACACCTCCTATCGACCCGCCATCCAGCGTCGTCTCGACGATGAATCGAAGAAACGGAGGCGGAAGGGGGCGGCACGAGTCTCGGCCGTCGCGAAACCCGACTCCCGTTTGAGGGTCATCGAACGTACGCTTTTACGACCGGATAAAAATAGTATCTCGGGTGGAGATCGTCGCGTCTGAAAATGCGTCTCGCCCGAACGAGAGGAGTGAAGGAGTGAGCCAGGTAGGTCGGGGACCGTAAGCGAAGCGTGAAGAGAAAAAAAAAAGAGGGAGGAAGGCGCAGGAACGCTCGTGGAGACTCCTTCCGAAAGGACTCCGAGACGTTTCGATGCACGGTGGAGCGATCGGCTTCACGTTTCGATCACCTTGCCTTCCGATTTGAATCCGATCGATGGAATCGTGACCTTCGCGGACGGACGGAAAATCTGTCGTCCGGTTTCACGAAGGAATGAACCGAGTGAAGGAAGATAGAGACCGACGGGACAACTTTCGCGTGCATTTCCTGCATTTTCACCTTCTTACTTCTTTTTTTCAAAATGGGGAAAGGAGAGGTTCTCACGACCTTAAAAAGAGGGTACGTGCAGCTTCCCCTTGACCTTCGACGCGGAGAAGCATGCGGCACGTGCTGGCGAAAGTGGCGACACCTATCCAGACGATGGAGGAAATCTGTTAACCGATTTCGGAGACAGAGATCGTCGCGACGCCTGCCCGTCGCGCGAGGACGAGAATCCAAAAGTCCTCCGTCGAAGTGGGTTTCGTTCCGTCGAGAAGAGAAGAGATTGGGAAGAACGAGAATCCCGTATCGCTGAACGAAGCTCTGAGGCCGAGGCAGTGATTCCGTTTCGACGGAAACGAGAGGCTGTTTGCAGGTGCGAAAACCTGCCTCGTCCCGTCACGACATACGTAGTCGCAGAATGGCTTCTTTCCGCGATCCCGCGCGTTTCGGAATTGCCTTCTTCCGTCGGCTCCTCGGTGAAGGGGGGGGGGGGGGTTTGGACTTCACGACGACCGTGTGAATCCGTCGAAATCGGCGTGGAACAAGGAGACGAGAGCGGATACCGCGCCTTCACGGCTCGTCGTCGTGCAAACGAGACGTCGATCGCGATGCGAACCGTTGCCGTGCCTTGGATTTCGGGCCTTCGCGAACGCGAATCTCGGAAGGGGTCGCGATACGTCGCAGTGCAGAACGGTCTTTCTCCTTACAAATCGATCGTTTCGTCTGCGAATCCACTTTGAAACGCGAATTCTGAAATCGGGAGGCTCTCTCCAAGTATTCCGGTCGTCATGGATGAAAAAATATAAATAAGACACGGTGTACCTAAGGGAGTGTGAAAGCCGGTCGTTCGGGATCTTCCACCGGCGACCGGAGGAAAAAATGCCGTACCGTCCGAAACGCCTCGACGGTCCCCCGGTCTGCCTCTGGTCCCCGGTCTGCCTCTGGTCCCCCGGTCTGCCTCTGGTCCCCCGGTCTGCCTCTTCGGCGTCCCGAGCGTTCGACCGTCACGAAGATGCAAAGCAGGCGGACCGACTCCGTCGCGGACGCGAGAGAAAAAGGTGCAGAGCCATGAAGCCCGTCGGCAGAGAGAGAAGCTTTTCTTCCCCGCATTTTTCTTCCACCGTTTCCATCCTCGTAAATCTTCACGAGCCGACCCCGTCCCGTTTCCGACGCGTTCGTTCATCGTGACGGTGCACGATACTCCGCGAAGGAACGCCGACTCACCGTAAGGCGAAGAGAAAAGGGAAACCACCTCGAGAAAGTCGTGTCGAAGGGACGGGAAGAAACGGGACCGGTTCCGCAACTCTTTTATTCCTTCGTGCACGGAGTCTGAATGGGATCTCGTATCCGGTCTCGGGGATAAGTAGGCAAAATCTCCTATTCATTGGCGTTCTCTCTTTTCGGTTATCTTGTAATGAGTTCTTTGACTCTCCCCCCCTCCCAGAGAAAGGGAAGTAAAAAATTCGAAGCGCTATAATAAGTTGTGCAGAATTAATTGAATATTCGCTTAATTCTGCGCAGTTTATTATAGAGCTTCGAATTGGACACGATCTAGCGGCACGGAGCATTGGCATCCCGATTTCCTTTCTTTTCCCGCATTTCCTTTCTTTTCCCGCATCCATTTCATTTCACGAGCAATTTAATGACGCTCTAAACTCCGATTGGGGTTCCACCTGATGCCTCGTTCGTTTCGGCCAGGGGAGAGGAAATCGGAGGGTTCGCTAAAAACACCTGGAAAAAATTTGCACGAAAGCAAATAAAGAAGGATCGGTCGCGCATCCTCACGTCCAACAGAAGATCCCCACGAAAATTCTCACCCGATCGAAGAAGAAAGGGGTTACAGAACCGGTCCCGTTACTCTTTCATCGGTCCTCGTAGGTCATCGCATTCACGGTAGGACGGAAAATAAAGCACTCCTATGGAATCCCATGGGAGAATGGTTACACGGTTTGGCTGTCGTTACCCTCTGGGACCACCCATGCCCCTCGTTGCCCCTCGTTCCTTGCCTGCTATTCCCATTTTCTGAGTTGAAGCCATATCGATGCAATCACAAGCATGATTCTTGCGTCCCGTATGTTTAGGTGATAAAATGCGAACATACCAGATGCGGACGTTTATTCGATCGATATCGTCGATATGTAAAATATGCAATTGCTTGACGTGACCGACGGGCGATGGGTTTCATTCCCATGAGGGTAGGAGGGGGTGAAAGGGGGGGAGGGGGGGGGGGGGGGGGGGGGGGGGGG